GGGGGGGTCGCGTGAGATAGATATTTCGGCCGGGCGGAATTAATCCAATGTTAAACCAATTAGACAGACTTTCGCGGGCGATCGAGAGATTTACCGAAGTCGACGGGCAGAGATAAATTGACCGCGCCGCGATTCCGGAGAGAAGACCTCGGGCGTAGTACGCACGCAGATCGTAAATCGAATGAAATCACCGTCAGCCTTGATCTATAACTGTCTTGAATGCTTGAGAATGTGCCCCCGCATGGCGTCTTAACAATGTGCTTGATCCTCCTTAGATGCCACATTGTAACATTATATGTATATTTATGTAGCTGCATTTCCAACTATCGTATTTTTCGTTGATTGTGTTCATCCAAGATTGTCCACACTGTCTTTCTCCTCAAAATATAAGGTGATAAAATTATAATGTCCATGCGATGCGCGCAATGCCAAAGAAGTGATCAGTCAACGCAGTGATTTAAAATTGAAGGTTTATATACTCTGACCACACAACTCACCGGTGGAAGGTGTCGCGTAATTTTGTATGCATACTTGTTTATAATCTTTTTCACGATTCAGTCATAATGAAGAGGTTTATTGAGGGCTTGGCCGCGATAGCTTTGATCCTGTAATGTAAGCTATTCCATCGTACGAGCAAAAAGATTAGGGTCATAAATGTACGTGTTGTGCTGTCAAGATGCAGCGAACGCGGGTTTAAACATTTCCTCACATCGGTTCATTTTATACGTGTGCACAGACGAGCAACAGGTCGTCATTTCCAAACACTTGTGATGCAACGCATAAATAAGCAACATTGTCCCGAATAAGCAAATTTGCGACTTCACGCATTGCAACGAAAGTGCATTTATTTCTACAAATTATAAGAAATTAATTATAAAAATAATTATCAAAAATGATATGTTGATTTATGATGCATCGAATGGGTATAATAATGGACGAAATAGGTTAACTATGTGTACTATACCTGCATTACGTAATACATCGTTAATAATATGTTAATTAGCGCGGAGCAAAATATACGTCACGTCGTTCTTTCTTGAATATTCGATTACGCAAGCTTTACATGGTAGTGGTGCGTTCACAAAGTAATATTTAAGTTACATTGATCCATCAATGTGTCAATCTATCAATGCAAAATTAATTGTTCGAATAATTTGAGGAAATTATTGATCCCTTTTGTAATTTGTATACCCCCAAGATACATATATCATATATATTTAACCTTTAGAAACTGAGAAGTTGATTTTTTGGATCTAGACTGGTTTCAACTTTTTTGTGGAATTATTTTACTAGTATATATATTAATTTTTTTTTCCAAAAAAGTAAAAAAATTCATCTGGTTTCTAAAGGTTAAATTATTATACAATCAAGAAAACAAAAAGAAAAATTTTATCCGGTTTAAAGGATTGTTATTATAAATAATTGTTGTAAATAAAAATTAAGCACATTTATATAACATATCTAATATGTTACATATGTGTGTGTGTATATATATATCAGCGCATATTTATTTATATATTAAAATGTTTAATGTTTAATATTTAATGCACTTTTTAAAAATAATGATTATTTTATTTATTAGCATACAAAAAAGAAATTAATTTATGTAAATGTATATCGTAAAAAAAACGTTTATATAATTTTTTATTATTGATATTTTAATTTAATTTAGTGTAGTTAAGGAACAGGAGAGATATAATTAGATTTTGAGATCGCGCGATAATCGAAAAATATCAGTTATTGATTAAATTTAACTATACGACGAGTTTAATAGTGAATGTAGTGTTTATTTAAGAATGTTTATTATGAAATAAATTATAAGTATTTATTTGTTGCTATGCATTTAATTTCGATTTACATTTAAATACTGGAACGACTGCAACCTAGGTCGATGATCAAGAGGATTGCATTAATACTAGTAATACTTGTAAAAAAAATACTTGTTATTAATACTTGTAAAAAATGATTAATCAAACTGGATATAAAAAGTATCTGTCAAACACTGACGTAATCAAGAAGAAAATAGATTCACAATTGTCTAATCACGTAGACCTTTTCATTCTAATGTTAAATTTTTATCATTTTAACTCATTTTTAAACATTATAAATTGAAAAAAAAAAATTATCAACGTGGAGTAAAACTATATATATAGTTAAGAAAATAGCAATTTTAATTTGATTATATAAAATTATCTTTTACGATGTATAACATCAATAACACACAGTCGATGACACTTCAATTTATTATCTTTTTAAGAATCTTTACTATAGTAATGTCCTATACTCATTTCTATGGAAATTCTCTCAGAACGTACGAACGTGTCGTTTTTGTAAACCACGATAAATGAAATAACAAGTATCTCCACTTCCCAATCGAAAATCGCGTGCAATGGAGCAATAGTAGCGAGGAAAATGCAATATCCACGATTATCGTTGAAAATCTCTTGCAAGATTTGATATCCTAGATTGTATGACGTGTGTACATTTTATATATTTTATAGATATTTTATACAGTTTGTAATAAAAATAGAGTTGATATTTATATATATATGTATATACATATGCTTGTAACGCACATCGTAATATGCACTTCGAAAGACTCAGCGCTATAAATATACACACGTGCAAGATATACACGCGACTGTTTATTAAATAACACACATACACACATGTATTAACTATTATCATGGTTGGCCTTATTTTTGTGCATGGTTCCGCGATGGTATATCAGTTTAGTGTATACTGCGGGAAGTTGCACGATAATAAAGATATTACGACTTCTGCGTGAGATACGAATAACACATTTTACGACAACGGGAGGATGAATTACGGAAACAAAATTATACGTATACTATAATTAGGTTTGATTGTTTATGTATAAATATCTTTCTTTTTTTATATTTATCATATTATGAGGCTAAAATTTGTGTTTTTCATATTTATATTTTAGCAATTATTATAGAAGTATGTTATTGTTGTTGAAGAAATAATATACATTTTGCCACAACTTAATAATTAAATTAATTACAAAGAAATTATTACTCTACGCATAAAAAATATTCACCGTCATCGTAACCAATAACATTCTCTTTTTGATATGATCAAACCGGTTTTATATCATATGAAATATTGGAGATGCTAATATATACGAAATTTTATACGATGAATTTATTGTACTGAATTTATGAAAATGTAAATTCAAAGTATACGTCATTTACATTATTAGCATAGGAAAATGTATTTCTATAAGTGGAAAGGCAGAGCTATTTATTCTATTTTATATGCTAATGATTTGTGAGCGTCACTGCTAAATTTCGCTTGTCGTTTTCGTTCTTTGTTACAGCAATCCACGTGCGTCGCGGAACATGGCGGAAAAGCAACGCCGCGACAATCTCAACGCAAATATATCGACGATGGCGACCCTCGTGCCGAGCGTTGCTGGGAGTTCGAGGCGAATGGACAAAATATCCATCCTGAGATTAGCTACCGCCTTCCTGAGGACACGTTACAGTAAGTCGTCTTTGTCAAAACATTTTTTTCACACCTTCCGACGAAGATTTTTCTCAATGACTCGTTATATTCTTGTGATTTATTATATCGCGCGTGCGAATCATTTCTATTATAATAATTATTTTATTATTACAAAATTATATTCTGTTATTGTTATTATTACAGAATTTAATTTATTATTTATTGTATTGCATCATATTTTGTTATATTTTAACGGCTCTAAACAAATTACAAATAACTAAGCTGTTTTTTGTTGATTATTTGTCCATGTTCTTATTGTCCAATTTCAATTATGCAGATGTGAAAAAAGCATTACTTATGTTCGCGTCTCTTGTGCGTTATTTACAGCACTCGGAAGTGGCTCGATGAACTTTCTTCCCCCGTTGTTCAAAGATCAATTCGATCTGGAGCAATTTTTTGTCGACGTGAGTACGCAACGCTTATCTTTAATTCAGATCGACCGAGACAAACATTCTAGACTTGTTTTTTTATTTTTAACCATAACAGCACCTAGTTGACAGCGAAGGTTTCTTCCTCGTAGTCACCGCAACAGGAAAAATCGTCTATGTCAGCCGACAAGTGGAGCAACATCTCGGTCATGTTCAGGTGAGTTTTTCTTATCATTATATAAAGAATTGTTTCTATTAGTATGACCGAAGGCTACATAATTTTGCTTTCTCCCTTGAAGTTTTTTTTGCCGGAAGCTTTTTATTTTAATCGAAGATTGCACGAAGACTGCGGATATTTTTTCGCTGAGGAAAAACTCGTTTTAAAAGAATCTATAATGTTAAAGGACATCCGGTTGGCTTTTACATCCCGTATAGGATATTAACGAATAATTTATGATCTCAGAGGCGTCGACTTTTGTTACAAATAAATTATATTAGTTCCAAGAAAATCGTGCGTTTCTTATCGCATTGATGTCTTGATATTTTGGCTATTCGAAGTGCTTATATCGCGCAATATCGCGATTGATTTAAATTTCTCTATTCCCGTGCACCCAATTGAAAACCCGATTAATCGCGAACGCCAGAATTATCCTTGTTTCGATCGACCGCGTTCTCTTCAATATTTGTCCCCGATATCTCGGACGATAAGTAAGTAGCCTCAGGTGAAAATGCAAGCGCGTTATACGAACGAGAGAACAGTACGAATACTTTTTCAATATCGTTTACTCGACAGCGAAACGATTAATGCGTTTTTTCATGCGTCGATAATAAGGTCAAGCTTATCGTCGTCCGAGGTAGAGCGTTTGAAACGTTTTCCTCGCAACTATTAACAGAAGCTATTTACACACCATCGACATTTCACGGAATTCTCCATCTCTTCTACGGCGGACTTTCTTTTTTACACAACGTATTTATATTGCGGCGATTGAAATCTGCGTCTGTGTGCAGCATTTCCGCGCCGGCGCCAAGAAAGTGAAGCGGGCGAGGGAGGGTGTATACGGGACGACATGGCAGCGATCGCGATCTCGTGGCTGCAGCTGCAGCTTCAGCTGCAGCACCGACCTACCCTGTAGCGCGCGGAGTTAGGAATTATCGATCAAATGAATGCGTGCAACGCAAATATGCTCCCATGGCAACCGGCGTGCTCTATGCCCTCTGCTCCTTTTCGCTCGCTGCGAAACGTGTGCGCCCACCAATATCCGCGCTCGTTTTGCGTATTTGTACGTGGGAATTACCCGCGCGCGCAATTGCTCGCGGAAGGATCGCACGTCCGCTCGTGCGATGAAAAATTCACCTCGCTACAAATGAAGCGTGCGATGATCCCGCTTGGTAATTATTCACCGGATCCACGCGCGACTTTTCCCGGAAATTCGACTGTTTTAACCTCGTGCATATAGGTATATCTCTCGCTAGATTCGGCAATGTTTCCGCAGAAATTCATTTTAATTCATGGAGCATAAAACTAAAATGTTAAGGAATTTCGTTTACCTTTAACTAAACCTAAATGATCGGAAAGCACATTTAAATATTTTAAATGTAACGAATGTGAGTCTTTTATATAATGTATGTCTAAAAATCTTTTTCAAGCTTTTGCAATAACATAATTATCTTGGATTAAAAAAACATTATATAACTTGTTTTCAATTTCAAAGTAAATAATGAAATTTGATTTAATGAACATCATTCATTGAGATGTTACGGAATTATCTTAACTTTATTATACTGGTCATATAGTAGTAATACGACTTTGTTTATAAGATCTGGGAGAATTATATGGGTTATTAAACGAATTATTATTTGTGATTCCGCCTGCGTGCTTATATATATATATATATATATATATGTCCATTTCTTGCGTTAGAAGAATTTACTCCGTATCGCAAAACGCGGAATCTTGTCTGAGAAATATTAATTTAAGACGAGATTAATCGTCGAAGTAAATCACCGGGATCAGTACGTAAAAGCGGATCGTGTGATTAACCGAAGGCAGATTTAAGGATCAAGTAATGAACGTTACGGGAATAATGCGCATTTATATCTTGCGATAAAATCAGATCGGCTGACTTATATCTGCTGCAGATATTACGCGAGTATTGTATGCGAATAATTAGCGCGAACGGTATTGAGACGTATGTATAACGAGAATCTCGCTTTGCTACCTGCTGTGCCTCTTTGTCCCTGACGCGCAGCGTCGCCATCCGACGAGATCGGCGTGCCAGCTTTTCCGGATTATCGGAGACGTCGTAATTATGCACGTGACGCTTCTCTCCTCAACAAGAGAATAATTTTTATTTCACTCACAATCAGCCTCGGCGCGCTGCGAAGAGACGAACTTGAAGAAACTAGCTGAGATAATATATTGAATATATTTCTTATGCGGATATACAACTGCGCAACACACTGAGAAGATATTAAACAGATATGCGAGAAAAAATATAAACAGTACAAAAAGCATCTCGTATTTTTATCTTGGGATTAAAAATTGCCAGTACAGAAACGGGATTAAAGTGATTTCAGCTGCGAACGTATCTTGCGCGTGTATCTGAAAATTTTAATAAAATGTTAGAAAGGCTCTAACAATTTGAATAGATTTTCAAATATATAGATACATATTTGATTCTTCTTCTCTCTTTCGTGAAATGTACGAATGCCGCGAAATCCGAATATTTATCCATAATTTTTGATATTTTATGACCGAATTATTGTTATCAGAGATTATTTATACATTTCTACGTTGTTATCAATTTTGACGGAAGATCATGTGAAACCTCATCGTTCGTCGGACAGTTTGCGAAGAACCAAGTCAATAACCGGTCTATCGACTAAGAATCGAGTCGTGAGCCCTCACGGGATCTTCGGATAATCGAAATTTAGAAACAACGGAGGTCAATAGCATACAACCGGACGTATTAAGCGGTATTCAGGACATTCACATTTACGAAGAAGGCGCCTCGCGATGCCTGAACTTGATATCCTATCCGTTATTCCGTTATTTCAAATGTGAAGCAGCTAATAACACGATTAATTATGCACGTAAAAGAAAGAAGCTTTTCTTAATTATTACAGAAAAATTCTGCGCGTGTATATATACGCAGCTTCCATTCGTCGGGCCTCGATTTCGCAAGGGCTCCGGGATTGCCACATCGAGCCGCGTTTAATGAAACAATCCCTTTTGCGGTGTATATCTAGGATCGTATAGAAGCGCTAAGAATAACTAAGCAGCCAATTTTAATGCTTTCAGTAAAGAAAAGGTAGGTTTAGATTACGACCAGTGACGCAAGAGGGATCCTCGAGGTCTTCAAGACAACGCAGTGAATATTAGGTGAATCACGAGTAGAAAAATATACCTGCGACGGTGTAGCCGTATATAATCAATTAGGATAGGAGGAGTTACGAGATTAGGAGCGAAAAGGGAGCATATGCTAGCCAATCGGATCTCTTCGGCAGATCGTAGTGTTGTTCTGCGCTCATATTTCTCGGTGATATAGTTATGACAAAATAGATATTAGAGACATTACAAACAGATATAGATATCTGGATAGATATTATAAATATTTTCGCGCGTGCAACTATAACGCTTAATTTCTAACTCTTCTCTTCTTACAATGTGATTTTGTAAAAAATTTGCTGTCACTTTCAGACTCGGTTTACGAGGAGCTATCGGATAAGCATGTTCGCGTAATTGTTATTCCTTTGCGAAACGGCACGAAGATACAATTGTCGCGCTCACTTGTATTTATTAATAAATTCCACGAATGGAATTTTATCTTTTCTTTAAAATAAATTCCACGAATGGAATTTTATCTTTTCTTTCAACTAGTCGATGATCTTTTCGCTTTGAAAAGCCATAAGATTCTATAGGCATTCCTTTCATTCATGGATCGCATTTTTTAATGTATTATGACTTGTTGCTTGTCTGCGATGCATTTATCAAATTGAATTAAATTGAATTGTGGAAGATGTGTAATCGTGTTAGATAAAAAATGGTGCTAAAGAGATATCGAAACTCTTAACAACATGAAATCTCGATAGAGAGAGTATTCCCGGAAATATTATCTGCGTGCTTCCAAACGCCAGCCGCTTCGGGTTATCGGCCTTTTGTTTGCGTTCAAGGTTGCGTCCACGTGTTTACGTGGATCCGAGATCTTTTAGGAAGTCGCACACGACGACAAAGACAGGTCCCGAAACAACAGGAATGATGAAACTTCCACTATACACCGCTACGATAAACGTACGCTTGATGGGACATCGATCGTTTGAACAAAATTAATTGAAATTCAGGCCGAATTAGAGAACCTGCCGGAGATTTCAACGCGCGTTTTAAATTTTTGCTTGGATTTCACGAGTATCCGTAGTTTGCAGCAAGGGTGGAAGCTCTGCGAACGTGTACTATCGCTTCTCATCCCGCAATCCCTAAAGGTTTCCATCGTGTTTCTGCGAGAAAACAACGAGGCGAACGGTGGTGGGACGGTCGTGGATAAAATGTAAAAAAGTGTGTCCCCCGCGCTATATCGATCGTCAGCGTTCGCCGGTGGCGCTCCAGATTCAAGCGTAACGATAATTCGCCACTCTGCCGTAACGAACCGGCTCTTGGAAGCCGGCCGAGTACCACTTCTCTCTCTCTCTCTCTCTCTCTCTCTCTCTCTTTCTCTCTCTCTCTCTATCTTTCTCTTTCGGCTCCACTTGTGCAAAAGATGCCAGAACTGGCGACGATAGAGAAGGAACAAGAAGGAGAAGCAGGTGGAAGAAGGGCAGACGGGACGAGGGTTGTTTGCGAGTAGCGCAGTTTGCGGTTTGCTCTCGTTTTTTAAGAAGGCACTCACAATCAAGCTGTATTGTTCTCAAGGAGAAACCGCCTGCCGCGAAAATGAGCTCCGTCGCCGACGTGGTGCACCTCCGTCGTGGTTGTCGTCGTCATCGTCGTTGTCGTTGTTGTCGTCGTCATCATCTTCTTTTTCTTCAACTTTGTTTTCGTCGTCATCCTCGTCTTCATCGTCGTCGTCGTCTTCTTCTTCTTCTTCGTCTTCGTCTTCGTTTTTATCATCGTCCTCGTTCTCATCGTCGTCCTTGTCGTCGTCCTCATCCTCGTTGACGTATCGCAACACGATTCGCTGCGCGAAAGATATCCGGCCTGACGGTGTGTAGAGCTCTTCACAGAAGGAGTCTGAGGACTTTACGAACGGAACTTTGAAGTACCTCTATTCAGAGAACACGGAGATGCTCCATGTGTATGGAAAATTGATAGAATATAAATACGTCAATCGGTACACTTTAGCTTGAAGACAAATATTGATAATAATTTCTGCTGTGACAGCGAAAATTAATGAATGATGCGTATTTATATTTTTTTATATTAAAATCATGAAGATATATCATGTTATTTTGTCGATTATGAGGAAGAAACATCAATTTTTCTTGTTTCAAAGTACCGTATTACTTATCCTGAAAATGAAATTGATCGGTTTAATAAATCGGAAAACAAGAAGACTAAAGTTTAACTGTTCCTCGCACATGCGACTTCCCCTGTAATAATTCTAATAATTAATTTTTTCACTCAATACAACAGGGACTAGGCGATTGTTGCGCGACTGTATCAGCATCGATATATAAGTCACGAGTTAACAAAGGTCATCACCGGCGGTGCGAGGTGGCTTCATCTAAACTTTGGAATTAGACTCTCTCTGAACTTTGGAATTGTGTTTTGCAGAACGAATTGCTGGGTCAGTCCCTGTACAATTTTGTCTATCCCGAGGACCATGACGAGCTCACGCGTAATCTCACGCCCGATGGGATGCCGCCGATGTCGACGCCGTCGGGCGTCGCGCAGGTGTCCGAGTTAGCGCACGACAACAATTCCAGCTCCTCCGAGGAATCCTCGACGGCGAATCACCGAACGAACGAGAGGATCAAGCGCTTCCGCGAGCAGAGACGGAACTTCAAGATTCGCCTGGCGCAACGCACCAACTCCAGGCGCGACCACACGCAGTACGAGTGCTTCGACATTTCGGGTCTCCTCCGGCTCGCGGAAGCCTGCAAAAACGCAGACACCAACGGGAACAGGGGGAGACAACGAGGTGAGTTTTAATCTTCCGACATCGTTAGACTGAACTATTATCTAACAGCTTGAAATTTGGCTTCGTTGCGTAAATGGAATTTGATACGTCGGATAAATTAACTTTGGTAAAAATCTGAAAAGTCTTAAGAACATTAAAAACGCAGCGAGAATATAAATTTAACATCCGTTCATATTTTTCCCTCGTGTTCTATTTAATTTATTGTGTGTTAGTTCAGTTTGTTTTAATTAGTTTGTACGATCTAAATTCTAAAACATAAATTATATTTTCAATATGTTACGCAGCAAGCGTAACATTTTGACATGCTTTGGACAAAATACAAATCTCAGATCTGGACTTCAGAACTTTCTTATCTTGTTCCACGTTACGTTCATCCTCCGACTTTATCCATCGTAAACAGTCGTTGTATAAAGTATCTTATTGAAATATTGGAGGAACAGGATAATCTCGTTATAAATTCTAACGAATTACAGTGAGTTAGAAAATTGATTCATGAATCAGTTTGCTAAGAAAGATAAACTTAAGTAATTTAGATTTAGGGGAAATGTTTAATAGCGATTCACGAACTGATTGCGAACGAACATCTTGCTTACGTTACTTTCCGTGGCGGTTTAATCCGGTTAAGATTCAATCGACAATCGAATGTCTCGGTTACGTCGTTTTATCGTGTGGCACGGCTAACAACAAGATCGTTCCCACCGCAAATCGAATAATCCTATCGTCACTGCTGTGCGTCGGCAACCGCAGACGTCCCTTCCGTATAAATCAGCGATATTGTGCTTCATTACGCATTCCGTGTCGAACGGTTCGTGGTGAGCGTCTCTCGTGCGCGTCTTCCTCCTCGGATCGATGGTCTTGTTTTATCGCACGACACGACTGAAAACCTGTAGCGCTGGTTTCGAAACGAGTATCGCAAATATTTACGCTACTCCTGTATTTAAATTTAGAACCTTCGCAGTCGCGGACGAAGATATGTAGGCGCAGCGTCGCGAGCGTTTAGCGTAGGTTTCTTTTTCTTCTTTTTTTTTTTTGCTCATCTCTAAGACGAGTTTCGAACGGCGAAAAGCACCGTTTAGATAGACTCCGCTCAAAGAGACGGGAGGGACGGGCTTCTACCGTGCTCGCCAATCCTTATTACATAGAATGTTGAGACCTGTCGCGTCTCTTTTCAGTTTGCAAATTCTTTGATGTATTTTGAAACACTCTCCCCTTATCTGTTTAATGGAAAGCCAACATCCGACGTAACTTTCCACTTTTCGGCATTAAATAATCTCAGTAAGCTGGTTTGAAATTATATTTTCGCCGCGATAAGAGCTCGCTCAGGAGAGGCAAAATATGATTTACATACATATTTGCATTTTAAGCCTCTCACCTTCCCAATAACTTACGATCTAATGACCGTTTCGAATATTTAACATTCTTTTGTCGATTTAATTTAACAAGATAGAAATCTGAATGTTACATCTGATTTAACTAATTCAGACAGAAGTCTAAATATCGCTGCTTGAGTTGTGTTTTTTTTTTTCTTTAAATATCTTTATGATTGCTGTGATCTAATTCTCTCCTGGGACAATCGCTTTTCACCTCCGATTTTACCTCATACGATTGCTGATTGTTTAGCTAATGATAATACGTTTGAAATGGCTCTAACAGAGACGACGAGCACCAGTAACGACATCGTTTTCGCCGGCGTAGCGACCCTGCCAAAGAAGCGGCCCATCACCGAATTGTCGATAATGGACGCCAATAAAGACGAGTATGTGACGCGGCATCTGGTCGACGGGCGTATCATTTATTGCGATCACAGGGTGTCGGTCGTTGCCGGGTACATGTCGGAGGAGGTATCGGGCCTGAATGCGTTCGCCTTCATGCACAAGGATGATTTCAGGTGGACGATGATCGGCCTACGGCAAAGTAAGCCTTCGCATTTTAATGTAATTAGCGCTAAACCTTGCATTGAAATACTCGGCGTCACCGCGGTATTGTTCTTCTTCCCCCTCCCCCATCTTCTCTCTGGAATTCGAAGAAAAATATCTGAATTATTCGAATAATAATATTTATGTATACTTTTATCATATCCGGTGATTAAGTCATTAATATTATACGCCGCCGTGTATATTTAACAGTTAGATTAATAATGTTATATTATGCATTACTGATTACGCCGATATTATTTTAATGCATTCAGGCTTTACGACGCGAGTATTACGAGTATTACTTACGACTTATAAGATGTTTTGCATGCTATTTCCATAACGAATTACAATTTAAATATAACAACAAAGTATATGTAAAGCGATCTATTTAGAATTAACCGACGTAACGGATCAAATATCGTTTTGCTCCCGTAATTAATCATGATTTGTTGTGCATTTTTGTAGTGTATGACCGTGCCGAAACGTGCGGCACGTCGTGCTACAGGCTACTCACGAAGACCGGTGAGTTCATCTACTTACGGACCCACGGTTATTTGGAATTCGACAAGGATACGCAAACGGTGGAATCCTTCGTTTGCGTCAACACCTTGGTGTCGTAAGTACCATTTCGCATATCACTTTGGGGCAGATTGGAGCAAGTGACAAGGCGATTTTTTTTTATTGATCCGAAGTGACATTAACGAGCAATGAACACTAAGAGATTCAATTTTTTTTTAATTATTGTAGAATCACCACATAAAATTTATTTTTATCGCGTGTTGTTGAAACCGTGAGATAATTTATCAAGCAAAATTTTAATTTTTACATTTACCCTGCTTTTTCACTTGCTCCAACCCATCAAGAAAAGCTGTTTTTTTTTTGTTCCTCAAGTGCTAAAGCAAACACGGATATATCGGATATATCATGCAACGCGTATTCAACACCATATAGCAATGAGGAAACTTTGTGTGCAGGGAAGAAGAGGGCGTCGGACTAATAAAAGAGATGAAAGCCAGGTTCTCTGCGACCGTGGCCGCAAGTAGCAGAGGTCTGATTCGGCCTTCTGACATTAACTCACCGATAGAAGTGGTAAGTCAAGCTGTATATACATATATGTGACGTCATGTATGTAGTGCTAATGCAATGCTTACATGCTTTACATTGCGTGTAAGACTTCCAGCAAATAAGGTTGTTTAATGATAAAAAAAATTGGTTTATTAGACCTCAAAATCCCAGGCGTCGAATCCGAGATGTAGCCTCGAAGATCCGTCGCAGCTCGAGGATGCTATCACTCATCTAATCAGCGACCTACCCTCGCCGGCTGTATCGGAGGACCGTTTCTCTCCCTCGCCGATGCCTCACACGCAGTACGTGAAGGCCGCTATATTCTCTTCTCGTATGCCCCCGGCTGCCACGCATGCCAACAAGATTGGCATCAAAAAAATCGATCGCTGCGTCGTTATCCAAGGCAAGGGCAAAGTATCTCCGAAGCAGGAGTCCAAACATACGGTCGGAAAGTTGATTAATTCCAATAGCGCGGAGCTAAGCCCAATATCGGACTCGGAGAGCGCGGTGTCGTCCGGCAAGCCTTTGTCGATGTTTGAAATGATGCACGCTACCCACAACAGCCATAACAACGTCCAGAACACCGACGTGTCTGCGCAATCGAAAATCCTTGCCGCTCGCAAGTCCGGATCCAAGAGCTCCCGCATGCCTCGTAGCCATACATCATGCTTGGACGTGCCTCAAAGCGCGAACGGCTTGAACGGGCAGGAAAAAGTGGATCAACGTAACGTAGGTATGTTGTCACCAAGCGCTTTGAACGAAGGCAATATCAAGATGGAACGTAGCGGTATCGAGGAGAAAACGTTCAATTGTTTAGATAATCAAGAGTCTACGGTACTACAATACTTCGACGACAGCGCGAGCGATAGTTCCGGCATCTCGTCGGGGATCGTCGAGATGCACAATCGAGGCCCGTTGAAGAGGATATGTAGCGATGAGAATCTTCTGGCGATGCAAAGTAAGAAGAGATCCAACGACGTGTACGCATCGACGAATGCGAGCAGCGAACAGCAGCGCATTTCCTACTTGAAATGCAGGTCTTTCGCGACCGAGTATCCAGCGTTCCCGGATGAGTTTAGTCAGTACAATGACGTCAATTCGCAATCCCTGGCGATAGCGGAGTCGCCTAATTCCAGTCTGCACGAAGTCGGAACCGACTATCAACAATTGGTAGATCCCACGCCGCTGGGCGTAACAAACCACGACGAAGAGCAGTTTATCGAGTTGCAGGATTTGAAGGAGGATACGTTGCTAAGTTCAGAACTGGGCGCAAATTCAGGTAAATTACAACAGTAACTTCTTTCGATGCTATAGCGAATTTTGAATCTTGATTTTCTGGAAAAGTTTGATATAAACCTTCTGATTTTATATTATAGTTACAATTTTTATGGGAAAAGATTGTAAGCCCCTTGCTCTATCTTCACTTTCGAAGATCGAGCTTTATTTTAAACATTATTTATCGTTATTGTATTGAAAGTTTTCTATCCTACATTTACACAATGCAGACAACAATTTTCAATATTGCAATTTGTTTATCACCTGTTAAAATTTAAAGTTAAAGTTTATGTTTTGAGTACAATTGTTTCTATCACAATGTAATATTTTCCCCGTTGAAAATTTCAAAGTATTTATATATGCGGGGGTAGTGATTCTAAGAATCTCTTGCTGGTCAAGCAAAAGATTCTTAGAATGTTACCCTCACATATATAATATTTGAAAATTTTTCATTTTTAAATAATACAGAATGCCTGTACTGAATGTACGTTGCATTCAATACACATAAGCCTCAGCAAAATTTTATTTTATTTCTCTTTTCTCAATTAAAGTTAGCAACGTTATCAAATCAATTACATGTAACTTATTCTTGAACGCATTTTCTTTTTGTTCGCAGAACTCATGATGAAGATATTTGACGGTCTACGCAATGGACCTGCAGGTTTCGAAAGTGGGTTTATACTTTATGCTTTATAAGTATCTTTGGAGATGTATGTATATTCAAATTAATTCTGGGTTATGTTGTTTCAGACTTTAACGAAGCAAAAATGCAGCAACTGACATCTGATAATGTAAGTGTAGAATGATAGAGATTTATTACAAATTAAAGTAATTTTAAAATGTGAGCTTAACGTGATAAATTCTCGAGTGGAAGCTAAATTACATAATATATTTAGCAAGTGGTCAATGACGAGTTAAGTCGCACGTATTACCAGCTAGCCGACCGAATGGCGTTGCACGAGTCCCAAATCAATGTACTGGCACGTGATCTCAAAAACCCAGCTCTCCGTGCGCAGAGGGAAAACTTAACACAGTTACAGGTACATATTACAGATTGATACTGAATAAATATCAACATGATATATTCTTTGACTATATAAGTATGACTTATATAGTCAAAGGATATATTGAGATTACTTCTTGTTCATTATTTTCCAGGCCGAGTACAACATGCAGAAGCAAATGCTTAAAACCATACAACAGGACCGCTGTAAAATGCAAGTGAACGCGAAGCAAAAGTTCGGAATCTGAGAAACCGGATGGTCTTCAAATCACTTCGTGAAAGCCGCTTTCAAGAACGCGAGCTTAATATGATACATCCCGGGATTGTTGTCGTTAATAAGAAATAAGCTCTAAAAGTTATCCCTTTCCTCGAAGGACTAGAACAAAGCTTTCGGTATTCGCATACGCGCAATTTGCATAATACTTCTCGATTTGTGTTACGATGTCGTCGTGTTCTGAGATTTCTCTGTTTCGGAATTGCCGATGTCATCAAGATTCACGACGAAGATCTGGGTAATCATTATTAGTGCAGCAACAAATGGAGATTTGCGTCAGTGCGGGCGCCGTGTGTGTTTAAACCGCTCAGTTCACGAAGAGAGAAGCCATTGCAGGAGGCATTGCTTAAGTTGACCGCAAGTGATTTATCTATTACTAAAGCAGTCTGTGTGTATGTGTGTGTGTATGTGTGTGTGTTTGCTTCGATCCGCGTTTTCCCTCGAGTGGAAAAAGAAACGAACGGAAAGACACCGGGAAAAAAAAAGAACTCGTACAGTACAAGTCGAGCGATTGACGCATATAAATGATCCTTTTTCTTTCCTTGTCGTTTTTCTTAACTCAGTGGGATTAAGAACTTCATTGCGCGCTGTCGTGTAAAAGGTCGCGCGCCTCGCTCACTAACTGATTATGCAAAGAGATTGTACAAAACCACATTGTATACTGTTATTTAAAACGTTGATACATTATAAATAACAGTCGCTACTCAGGCAGATTTCTCTGCGGCGATCGAGTGTTATGCAGTTGGCAATTTTCAAATTTTACGGTGTAGTGTAACTTGTATATATGATACACATACATATGGATATATACATTCGATTTTAACACAGCACGGCCGCGCGCGGCACTTTCCTCGTGCTAACTCGCTCGCCGCGAATCCGGTCGAGCTTCTTGAATGCTACCTCTGCGATTACGTATTTGTATCGGATGGATATGAAACCAGTCTCACTTATATTTCTTTCTATTCTATCGGTTGTAATTGCGAACCTATGGTGTTAAATATTAATAATACTCATAGCGCCTGACATCTTTTTTATAATTACGAAAGGATGTCACTCTGAAAATGTGAAAAGACAATTTGGTAATTTTTATGTTTTAACTTGTCGCGTCTCGTGTAAATTTCATCATTGCGTATTTATGTATGGAAAAACAAAGTGCTAAATTTAGGGATATGTCTATAGGGTTGCCACTATAGACCAGATCATCCTACTTTTAGTGAAACAATTTTACAATTGCATGTACCTGAATTCCATTTACATTTAAATGTTCTGTAATGTTTGGGAATTGAAAGTCCAGTCACGTGTTATTAAAAAATGATGACAAATATAAAATTAGTCATTATAAATAAATCTCATTTTTTACTTGATCATCCTCTCCCTCGTTGCCACGATTATTTACTTCATACAAATAAGATTTTTACTTTTAGGATATTTTACTTTTAGGATATTTTACTTTTATAATATAATATAATACTTAAAAAATGTGGTAACCCTAAATATATCTCTAAATTTGATTAAATTTTTGTAAGTGCAATAGAGAACCTCCGAAAATATATTTTAATTTTGCAACATAGAAGCATTAAATAATTATAAAGTATAAATCGTACTCATGAATTGACTTATGTTATTATTTAATCAAATTGCTTATAAAAACAAATCGATTTGCATAAACGAGGTTTTATTGTGTATGCGTTTTAATACGTTTCTTTTTTTTATAATTTGCTTGAATGATTTCTTTTATATCTCACTGGCCTTGCTATCCATCCAATAACATGTTACTATACGCAAATATACATATTAATAAACGATATTTTTATTTCGCCGTTAATTAACCTCCGCATTAATGATTAGTTGCGTGGAAGTCGACACGGTTGACGTTTATGTGTGTCTATTATTCAAATAAAATACATATTAGCCAATCGTGTTGCCGGCAATTACTTGTAATGCAGGTCAGCGTGAATATAAACATATTGTATATCGTAAAAGTGTTTAAAGTGTAAAAGATATTAATATAAGAGAGTGACGGAGAATGTACACTTGTCAACATATTCAGCACTGGCACTTAACAGATCTACAAATTTATTTGGATCCTACATGTACAGGTAATGTAAAGGCTGGTCCTGTAAATAAAGATGTTACACCTGATCTCAGATCGCGGCAGCGTTCTAAGCGTTTCTTTTCTTCGAACAAGAATTATTCATCGAGCATCATAGAATGTATATCTGTTACTTGCAACGTGCTGTTCACGTGCTTGTCACGTGCTGTTTTTTGTATATTAGGATGATAAAGAGAAATTTTTTTTCTATTGTTATACCAGAAGGACGAATTAATCTGAAACATATGAATTTTTTGACCAGCTTAATACATGTAAATTTTTCAAGCTCTTGAGTTTTGTTGTATATTTATCTTAATATATAAGTTCTTCCTGCTTCTGCGTTCTGTTATCGCGCATCCACCTATGGGACTTGAATTTCATTTTGTGTCTTGTGTAAAAGATACAAAGTAACAACGTATATACATATACATATATGTATATGTGCATTGTACATATACACAAATGCCGTGTATATATACATGTATATGTAATTCATTGTAAAAAGTTTCGTTAATTCGTTTTTAATGTTACATTGGTGTCGAACGAGGAAGTCAAGATTATCAGTCATCGGGTAAAAGGCCTCTACATAATTACGATCGTTACGTACGTGTAATGCCGGAAACGTCAAGTTTATAGAGTAGCCTATTCCCCTTTGTCAGTTTTAACGACGGAAGCGGCTTGACTATCCTCACGTGCCGAGCACTCGTCATCGAGAACCTACGTTTTTACGCGGAAATCCACCGCTGAAAAAAAAGGAGTATCTAATCGACCTGTATGTACGAAATTCACATTCGCATAATTACGACGATCGTGCGTGAAGTGAGCATCAAGTCGGCCCAACACATCGCCCTTGATGCCCAGTTTCTCTCGCGGTCTTACTAGTACAAAGGACAAGTTTAAACTGTCTGTGTTCAATGTACCTCATCCTCTTCTCTCTTTCTCTCAAACTAACTCTCCATACTGTCATCAGTCGTACCGATGATAACCGGTATTAACATGTCATACGGCTTTGAATATATAAGCTTGGTTGTGACATACATGGGGCATTTAAAACAAAACCTGTTTAAATAAGTATTTTTGTTGCGCACTTTAGACTTCTGAACGAGAAAGTGACAGCCCCGAAATTCGTCTCTATAGCAAGAAATATGACAGCGTAAAGATAACTTCCTTTTTTAGAAATTCTTTTTATTTTTTTTTTATATGTTTACAATATTTTGATGAAATTATTTATGAAAAAATATTACTTAAAAGATAACAGTGTTATTGATATAAAAAGTATAATTGGAAGAAATCGAGTATCACAATTATTAATTTTTACAGTATGCGCCATAATATTCTACATACTTATCTACGATAAGTTACGAGAAGGCAACCAAGCGTCACTACAATTTATGCGGCACACTGTTCATTGTAGTCGTTTAAGACTTCATTTATTCACTGTTACGAAATGGAGTAGAGGCATCTAAATCTTTCCGGAATGGAATTGTTGTGCATAATTTTATCATGTATGGAGAAAACTAAATTACTTGCATGTGATTACGATTACAGCACCTGTTACAAGATATTGTTATAACAGAGATTGCGAGAAGAAAAACGGATAGATCCTCTAAACTCCTTTATCTTAAGGTAACTAAGAGAGATATATATATAAAAACGGACGGCTGCTCGATATTTATTGGAAAGAAGTGGATACTAATGCAACACAGACGGCTCTACGGTTCATTATACGCTAAGATAAAGTTCAACTTTATATACCGCTGTAAATATATATATTGCGTTATTATATTTTATACTCTGCTGATTGTGCACATAAGTGGCTTTTCGATTTCTTTCTATAAGGAGCGAGAGCAAAGGCGATTAAAGTGTGGTTGTGTACCTTCCTCTTATACGCCACCATACATGTATACATATATTAAATGCAGAATGTGTGGTACGCGTCGGTGCCATTTGAATCTTCATAGAAACGAATTGTACAGTCCGAGTGTTATTATTGCTTTGTAAAAACTCGAGAATTTTGAAGATTCTTACTTGGGGACGAGAGGTCTCCCCTCTCGCATTGTTTTCGACACTGTTATAAATTACATCGAGAGTCAAATGTGCTTTTCTACCTCTTTTAATTTATGTTAGTTTGCAGCGAAGCTCTTATCAGGGCAGGGTATGCGTGCAGGATGATCTTCGGGCGATACTCGCCCGATGACAAAGATGAGTTTATTACTATATTGTAAATGCCCTAGACACTAATCAACTACTAGGCATACCGACGCGAGGATTAACTGTAAATTTTCACGATGACTCGTATGGCTCGTTGAATACTGCGTGCACAATAAAAGAATTGCGTTTTTCGCGAAATGGGACAACAAAAGTTACAGTTACAGTTTATACTTACCTCTCCTGCAGATTGCTCACACGTTATTAAGTTAACGTTTCCCGTTAGCTTTATTATTTCAAACGGAACGATCCATATATGGGTACGTGAAATTATTTCGAATGAATCTCAGCCGGCCGATAATTGTAATGTGCGAAACCGTTTGTAAAAAAATTTAATATATAATCTCAGTGTTTTTTGCTGTTAAGCACTATGTAAATTCCGATAGAAGTTATTGAGAAACGTCGTACGTAATTCACGCGTTGCGAGCCACTCCGATAGGAAATCCACCGCCAAATTACTGTATAGTTTCATCATCGCCTTCATACAGCTTTCATTTTATCCTGGATATTTTTGCAATATATGTATATTAATTAATAATTCATCTCACGCTGATTTCATTATGGCTCTGCATGTTGAGTTTGAGCATTTTTTATTTTATATTGTAGTACATTTTCGCCAGAAGGGGCAGGTCCAGAATATATTTTAATATATTTAGAATTTTTTATAAAGAGTGGATTGTATTGAAATATAAAAATATAGACTTATTAATATTCGATTAATTATCGCGTTGGTGTTTATGACGTCATAACATAATGTAGATAAGTTAGAAACAGCTATAAGTATTCTCTCTATTTCTCTTTTTTTTCTACTTTATCTTGGAGGTGGATAATTCTTGCCAAGAGAGAACGTAGAATAACGGAAATAATGGAGATACGTATGTTGTGAACGAGTTCGAAAAAATCGCGCAGATATTTATAAAAATGTTTACGGTCGAGTCGCTTAGAAACGGTACAGATATTTATTTGGCTCAGGAATCGTTGATAGCGCGGGACATGATAAAACTCGTCAAAGAAAGTTGCAAATAAAAAACAAATTGTTTTTCCAATTGGACAGACTTTTCTTTTTTGATAAAAGAAATTAACAATTTAACGTATAGTTTGCATAAATTCGGCTAACTTATTCTATATTTAATATGTAGCGAGAAAAAAAAAAAGAAAATGCGTGCATACATGAAAAAGAGGAAAATATGTAATTGTAAACCAATAAAGAAATATAACGATGGGGAGGATCATGTACAGTTATTGTGTCAAGACTGAATTATTAAGACTTCAAGAAGGTGGAACATTTTTGTAAATAATACTGCCTCTGGAAGAAATATATGTAGAAATTATATGAATATTGTGGAAATGTCGAGCATCGTTTGATTTATATTTGACCCTTCTTGTCTACGCTCATAAATCTATAAAAGAAGCACACACCGCATTTTCAAAATGTCACGAGTTTCTCTTTTTTTTTTTTATTAAATTAACAGACTTGCAAAATAATTGCAGAACCGAGATTTGTTTACAAACGTAAAGATTTAGTCGCTTCAGATACAGTAATACATAATTGTCGAAACGACTTTCACCGATGGATGAATCTCCAATTTTTTATTACGATAAGATTAGAAAATTAGTTAATCGACATTTCTAATACGTTTATGTAATTGCTATCAGTAATTACTTAATGAGCTGTTCGAATATAAATTTATTGAAAATTCTCGCTCTCGTTTCCATCGCGCACTCCTCTTACTCTATTCGGTGATGTGCCTTAAACAGACTTGAGGGAAATTACTTATGTCGTCAAAGTAGTAGAGACTTGTACGCGATGGTGATACCGCAGTTGCATGAGAAAACAATCGAACAGGCACGGCATTTCGAGGCGATCCGAATCAAAGGCACGTGTAAAATGTTTTGCGTACCGTAACAAATGAAAGCCCCCAAAAATGAGAAATCACTGTAATTTGTCTCTCAATTTTTATTCAATATACCGTATAATCGAGGTGTGTGAACCGTACTTATCTAACATGCACCAAATCCCAAGTAAGACAACGCACAGAGCTCGTATTGTCGAGGATCCATAGGATATCCATAAATTGACAAGATCCTGCCGCGCGGATAGGAGATCCCAGTTACGAAATCGCGAGATTTCACAGTATAATGATTAATCGTCGTTTTAATCCCGAAATATGCCGTATTGATGATATAAAAAGAACTGGTTATGAATCCATAAATCCTTTCGAAATAACTAAAGATTTGTGAATGAAGAATACATTTTAGAGAATGTTTTGTTAAATTGTTGAAATGGCTCACGCGACGATTTAAAGTCGATTATAACACGATTATCCAGTCGAAAGAGTCTATTCGTCGGTGAGCTGCATCTCGGTATTAGAAATTCAGATAAGATCGATGGACTACGATAATATAGATAATTCGTGCGACTGGGACATCGTACACGCGCTCTGCGTACGCAACGTCCTGACAAAGGCAGTGTGAAATAGCGAACTGAATAAAAGTGGATATCGATAGCGGTAGGACACATCGGTTGATAATGATACTGCTCGCGTCTCGATTTCACGCATATCGCTTTTCATCCCTATACTTTTCTATCGTCTCGCATTTCCGGCAACGAAGCTGTACTTGCAATTTGGTTCATATTCTGTATAAGTCGCTGGAAATGTTTTTTTTACGATGCAGCGCAATATAATGATACAACTTCGAATGCAGAGGCCCGTGTGCGTTTCGATAATGTCGTGTTTTCTTTTTCCTTTTCATTTTCGCGCGGGTCGCGCGGAGATTCAAGAGTATACAAACTTCGGGAGGGGACTTGTCGTACAGTGAAACTTATTGTGAGTCTCTGCCGCAAAGAAAGATAGAAAAATATACGAGTTTCTAAATAGCGGCGCGCCCACGCGCGGGCCGCCGTTCTCTAACAATAAGAACAATATAGTTGGAGATCGTTCTAGATGACTATTCGTTGCTACGGTGAAGAATGCCATCAGCAAGAAGCACATCCGATACGCGCCGAAAATTAAGCAACACTCCTTTTCCCAATTAATCGCTCGATATCTAGCTACGATTTTTTTTTTTCGCTAAACTCCAAATGATCCAACATTCTCTCATTCTCTATTGTCGTTCCCTCTTCCTATGCGTCACTAAGCAGATTAACTTGGTCGTGGGATCGGGGTTTTAGGAATTAACTCGCTATCGATTACCAAATTCTGCTTATTAAAGAGTCTTTAACGAAGTCTTCTTCGGGCACGACGCGACTTAATCGTGCTCTCTTCCGAGCTTACAGAAACGAAGTCTAGTGAAAAAGGCGTGATATCTTTCGATAGTACGATGGATCATGATATTTAACCGTCTAATTGCCAAACTATTTTTGGAATTAAAATTAGGTTTACATTCTCTAATTTCTTGTTTAATTTCGAGGAACGAAGACTGTTTTAATAAAATTTTGGATTTTTCAAAAATATTTTAAATATCAACGAGTCTTTTGTAATATTACTATTCTTATTATATAAAAATATATATAAAACTTTAAACACACGTATATAACAAAAAATAATATTTTATTCAAGTTTACGTCAGAATTGGGAACATTGGCGGTTAAACGGTTAAGCTAAATTGCAGAAGTCGCTCTGTTTTCAATTGTGAAAAAGTATTTCAACAATGAAACTTTGCAATTGAAAGTAGATCAACTCTCATCAACTGTTAAAACCTCAGCATCTATCTTTAATCATATTTTCTTAACAGAGGAATCAAGAAGTATTAAAAATATATAATTTAATTCAGTACGAAAATATCATCAATTTTAAGTATTTTAACCGATACGATGCCTCTAAAATAAAAGCAATTTTTGTAATTAGTCTTAATAAACATTATTTCTTCTCTATTTGATATATGTGAGATCATATTTAATCACACGCGCACAAAATTAAAGAGAATTGATAATAAATAACGGATAGAAAAAAATAATAATAACGTGGTGATAAATTGTTAACGGAGGCTCGAGTTCGTCGCTTCCCAAAATGCTCCGTACACATAAATATACATATATTCAATATATGTATAAATTGGGTGTTTGATTCGCGTTTATTATTATATATCTACAACTAGCGGGCGATATATACAGGGGATATAAGGGAGGGAAGTGAGATTTATCATTTTCTCCGCAGCCACTGTAAGACTGTCAGACTGAGAGCAATTTATTCAATGTAGATGTCCTCTATCGGGAAAGCAGTCTCGATGAATTTCGTGTAGAACCGATGAAAAGCGCGTCTGGAAGAAGAGAATCTCGAGTTATCGTTCGTGATCTACGAACAATAAATTATTTGTTTATTCCAAAATTTTTTAGATAAATTTTTTTAGAAAAACATACTTAAAAAATTTATATTGTAATATATTACCAAATTTTTAATTTTGATACAATATTTGAATGTAATAAAGTGATATATTAATATACATAATAATATAGCGCAGATAATAATTTAAAAAAATCAATTATAAAGTATATAATCAGAAATGTACATTAATCGTTTTACGCAAAGTGACATGGGGCCAGGTTTTCAAGTTGTCAATAATAATTATTTTAAAAAAATTTAGTTTTTCGAGAAAGGAGCTCACCCGACAGCTTCGGCGACGGGTCTTGTGGATTCCTGACCAATGAACACGTGGCAAGCGAACCTCTGCAGAGTGGGATGCTTTGTGATGAAGCCGAGGTAGCGATGATCGCGAGGATGAAATGCACAGAATGATACATTCTTCAGCGAGTAGAAATAATCGTGACAAGGACCTTGACTTTTCTAAAAATAATGTTGGCAATTATTAGAAACTTTTCGACTTTCTGGTGTTTCTTTCAATATTCACGCCTTAACGCGTAATGAATATTAAATTAAAACTAATTGTAGAAGCATAATTAAATAATGTCTTGCGTTTAAAAATAATGTAATAATGGTGTTTTAAAGAATTAATTCTCTGTTATAAATTTTTTACTTTAAAAAATGTGACTTTTGTGATTTCTAAATTATATTGAGTTTATATTGAAAACTTAGGGCTTGAAGTTCTTGGCTGAGAATTAAAATAAATAATTCATGTATTACGCAGATGAATAAGTTTCAATCGATTGCAAATAGACACTCACTCGCGGTTTACTTCTGTCGACCATTCGAAGACCCTGATCGGATACCTCCAAGATGCAGCTCTGCGAGGGTGGATCCTGCGAGGAGTTGCGAAGGATCCTCCTCACCGCTTGACAAACCACTCCTGTACCCTTGTGCGCCAGGGTCTCCACTGAGCCCAGGTAACCTAGAAGATATCTCTCCCTCTTCACTTTGGGCGCGGTAGGATCGAAGTCACTGTAGTCCATGTCGACTGCGTAAGCCGATGGAAAAATACCTTGTCGCCCTGTTCTCAGATTCACACCTAATCGCAAAGAACATAAGAATAGAGTCTGTCAATATTAATTCCAGCGTAGCGTTAATTTCATATTCTTTTTGATTTTTTTATTTTCATTAATTTAACACTTCATAAAATTAGTAATCAATACAGCCTTGGCCAAAAATATTAGACATCTGTGTTCTTTTATTTATTTGGAATTCTTTTATCTGTATTGTGTGTTTCCTATTGGTATTATACTAGTTTAAAGGGTTGTTGAAAGAATACTTTTACAGAATACAGTTACAAAAACTGCTGTAAATCAATTCTTTAGCTAAAACGTTAAATAATAGTTAATAAGGTGCCTAAGATTTTTAGTCAAGTCTGTATATAGAATAAAAATTTAGGATATGCTACAAATACTTGAAAAGCAATCGAAAAATGAGGACTTCTTTTAAACATTTCTCTCTATATATCTTCTAGATATTTACTGTTTAAATTATATCTTTATATTGTATAATAAATGGAATAAATGATTAGGCTATTACATGTATATATAATGCATATGAAATATTTATGTCAGAAATCTGAAGACATCGGCTCGATTTCATTAGGCAAGTAAGGAAATGATTATTGCTGAGGCGAGTTCGAAATTTTGCGAAGACATTTCTACGCACCTTCACACCAGAGATCGTCGGCCTCTTTTTGCACATATATGGGGTCTCCGATTTCAAGATCAATTTCGTCATGATGTCGCGATATGAACTTGTGCAGGCCCCGATGCGTTGCCTCGAGTAGTTCCAGTTGAGTGAACGGTATGCCTCCGCTTCCTTCGGAATAAAAAAGCGATCTAGTAGATATTAAATCCTCCGAAAGTTACTCCGTTTAGTTCGAAAACTATGCTATGGACAAAACAATTCCTGGCTTTCATAACTTTTCCGACTAAGCCACTAGAATTGTCAGATTATCGTGTAGCTATATAAAATCTCGACGAAGCATAAATTATAAAGCGTATCGTAAAAATATCAGTGAAGCGATAACTTTTGTCGAATGTTTAAATACTTGTGTTTTTTTATCAGAATAAAGATTAATTTAGAATTTAGATAGCTGAATTTAACAACACAAGAATTATAATTAATGTAAATTTGCAGTTTAAGCAAAAAAACTGTTAATCTATAAACATCCACAATTCCAGTGAATTTTTATTTGAAATTTTGTTATTCTATTCTACATGCATAGCATGTAGAATAGAATAACAAAATTTCAAATAAAAATTCACTGGAATTGTGAACATGCATAGCATGTAGAATAGAATAACACAACGAGAAAATAAATTATGCGTAAATTTTAGGAATTGATAAAACTCATTGAAAGAAAGAAAAATTTTAACGAATGTCCGAAAATACTTAGAAATTTTATATAAAATAATAAACCTGGAGTGCTGCTGGGCGACACCGAGTCCGTGTTCTGCAGGGTATTGCATGGTATGGGTGACACACTCTTGGGGCCGTTATCGGGAGAATGAGCAGTAGAATGACCGCTGTCCGTGGCCATCCTCTCGCTGTCGGGCGAACTGTCCTCGTGGCGGAGTCTGGGATGACATTTTCTTAAGACAAGTTGAGGCCGGGCCGACGTCGAGCCGGTGGCGGCACTCAACTCGTCTGCCAGCGAGGACGACGTCTGTATGGACGTCTGGCACATGGGCAAAGCTGAAACGACATGAGAAAACGTCAACGCGCATACCACACGCGATATATTCTTTTTCTTTTTCGAAGAATTCTAAGACACTATACGTAAACTTGACATGCTTTTGAAATAATGTATTTAAGTAAAACGCGTCAGTCTCAATCTACGAAACAGCACAGTTTATCGCGAATGGAAAATGTTGCTCTACAACGAGTACTTCTTGCAGAGCTGACATGATGCAAGTGGACGTCTGGATTTTCTTTCACTGTGGTCGCAACAATATTATCGGTTTCTTGGTTTCGTCGGTATGCATGATGCATGTGTGACACGGTGACAAGTGCGACGGGTGAAAATGATACAGCTGATACCTATCATTCATTGTATATAAGCGATGTCATGTCAAACCGAATTTTAAATACATCATAAAAGTTGTGTTTATTTGATTGTATTATAATTAAAGTCAGACAACATGAGGTATAAAAATTATGTGTATATCTTTACATTATATGTGGATATTATGTAATATAATTCGTTCAAATTGAGGTAAATTGCGTAATAAGATGTAATTATAAAATATAGATTTCTAATAACAAAAGTTTTATAAAAATCAATGAGAATTTGATCATCTAAATCGTTCTTTGATTTTTCGAGAATTCAAGTAATAATTCGATAATATGTTGCTGAAGAGTTTCTGCATTAATAAATTTTTCATTATTATTATTATCATTAGTACATCATTACTCATATAAATTATTTTATTTCGCGTTACGTATTCTTCTAAAATATATAGTCTTGAGTCACAACAATTCGGTTATCGGAACTGTTGGAAGTATAAGATCGAATGTAAACGTAATGTGAAGAAATTCTACATCTTGAAAGAATCTCTCGTTGTCGGCACTATTAAACGTGTTGTGCGTTTGTGCGAGGCCTTCCTTACATTTTTTGCTTTTAGGAATCTCCGGTAGTCTTCGACGTCTGCGTTCGGTGCCGCCACTTCCGGGTCGATTCGACGGCACGTGCTCCGGCGTAGGCCAGGAGCTCAAACTGGAACACGAATCGCCGACATCGCTGACGACACTATCCCGGCCACCGTTACCAGATACGGTAGTACCACCCCCACCTGGTCCTGGTCCGCCGCCGCCTACCGATCGACCCCTGCTGCTCAGTCCACCGAACAAGCTAATGTCATCCAAGGTTAATCGTATAGTGAGCTAAACTATCATTCTCCATGCTGCCTATTTCAATTCTTCAAAAATGTCAAATAAAGGTCTCCTTTTTGAAGTGTGATTCTTATACTCTTCATTGAGGCGAAAAGATTTATCTTGTTGTGCAACACACTGCATGGACCATGTCAAGAATTGAGTATTGTAAATTGATTGAATTTTAACAACTAAATTATAAGAGAAACAATAAAATTTCAATGCGTTATTGGCAGAGTTTTATTATTTTTTATATATTTAATGATTATTTTATTTTATAATTATAATTATAATTTAATTTAATAATAAATAATATTAAAAATAAAAAATAAATTATTTACTATAAAATTTAATAAAAACATAAAATTAATTGTAATAACAAAATTTAAATAGTAATATAAATTATTATAATAAAATTATACATGGCATATGCAATGTGCAATCTGGATTTTTTTATCATACAACAATATCATTTATTTTATAATGAACAGAATGATCAAAAGATCTAAATTCTCTTGAGCCATAATTGCGGTTGTGATATGAAATAGAGGACTTTGAGTTGCAAATGGTTGTTGATGCAATAATAGATAGCAGAGGTGCAAAAACCCACGCGTAGTTAAAACCCTCGGAAAATATTAAGAGTTCAGAAAGTGCTTTATTACTGCGCATCGACCATCGTCCGCATGCATCCCAGTTTCCAACCGCCACGGTGGGCGACGCTTAATTAATAATTATGAGCGTCGCTGCACACCACGAACTCTCCCGAAGACTATTTCTGAAAGCTTCAGTTATTTTTAACAAGGTCAGACCAATGAGATTACGACGTTACTGTAGATTACTATAATAGATGCGACGATACACGTTCTATGTACGTTCTATGTACAGGTGATATCGTTGCGGATCAAAGTACATTTGTATCTAAAAACGTAAAGCATAAACGGAACGTGAAATAAATTATAACAGCTACACATAACAACACACAATTCTCCAAGCTGCGTTTGTCACAAAAAATATTTTTAATAATAAATATTTTATTGCAAAAGAAATTTTCTTTCTTCGAAAAAAATATAATTCTGTTGTTTCTCGACGAGAACTTAAATTGTCGCGGATATTTTGTTTCTTTTAAATCTTTTAAATCTTGAACTTATTCTTTTATCTCTCGCAAGATTGTTTCTAATTTATATTTTAATTAATATTTCTTGTCCTTCATACTTCGAATTCTTTTATCTTTCATCAAAATATAACGTTCGAAGTATTACAAGTTTTATTCAAGTCAATCATTAATTAAAAACGAAACTCTTCCCTTTGTTCATGATTATTAAAACAAATATTAAAAGCATACAAAGATAATTACTACAATTAGTGACATATAAGTAAACACTTACGACGTTACCAACCTAAAATCGCTGTCAGCTATGATCGAGCAATGATGATCCAACTCCTCGCTATCATCGGGCGTGGTGTGCCCGCTTTGGTTGTCATGCCGGTGGATGACGACGACTTCCTCGTCCTCGGAGTCGCCGGTGACGACGTCGCAGGATCTGCCGACATCTCCATCGCTTCCTTGCGAGGATGTCGGCGAGTCATCGATCATCACATCGTGTACGAGCCTAACCAAATCGTTAAATGCGCGAAAGTTACATAAAAAGTTTGATTAAAGCGATGCATAAGTGTCATAAATAGTAAAAATAAAATTATGAGATGTATGACAATAAATTGTTCTCTGATTACATAAAAAGACGCAAGTATGACAATCAATAATAATTAATTTATCTTTCGCAAATAATGTGCGATTATTGCATATCTTGTAATTTTTTTATTTTTAATACGTATAGAAAATAATAATAAACCAAATCTTATTAATAATGACACAATAGTAGTCACAACATCCAAAATAGAATCGATAACGACACATTTACTCATCTAGCGATAAAAGCAATAATACAAAAGTTATTTGTTCAAATTAAAAATTTAAAAAATATTTACATTTTTTCATTTTTGTCTATTACATTACGTCACTTATCACGTAGATAAGTATACACAAAAATACAAATAATTTTATAGACGCGTATAATGTTTGTAATTCATTTATTATTAACGAAATATTAAAATTGCAATACTTGTACGCCCTATTGCTACAACAAGATCTTGTTCTCCCCTTAAAAGAGTGTCTCGAAAGTATTGTAATGTCAAAACTCTTGTTAGAAGTATAAGTACGTTTACTTTTTCAAGCACTCTTCAGACGGGGTATATGTTTGCACTACAATCAACAATTAAGTATATCTCACATCCAGTTAAATATTGATTATAGAAAAGTTGCATTTAAACAGATTTAATAAAAAATGTATGATGTTAATTAATGTTTAATTGAATAAAAACTCCAATCAATTTCATACATCGCGTTTCGAGCGAAATGCGAACAAACTAGGTCGAAAATTAGATCGGAAATATGTAGTTGCAGATGCGTTATGTCGATTCGTTAGATCGATCTTGCTTTATTTTTACAGAATCAGCTGCGGACAGTGACACTGATTCATCACAGACGTATCTGCAGACCGATCTCGCGCGATTTGGGAAGAAACACAATACTCCAGAAATGTGGATTGCGTAGAAAAATCGCATTTTAATTATCAATTAATATCTTTCGGAATGATAGAAAAATGACCCGCGCGTTCGTGCTTACGCGTATTGTTTGTACTAATTTTCTATGTTTGAAATATATATGTATGTCTTCATTAAAATAATCAGCGTCTGATGTATGTAAATGTCAGTACGTAACTACATAAACATTAACGTTCGTTACGTTTATGAGAGCACTCGCAATATGCAAAATTGTTATGCAATTATATTATCTCACATCGGTCTTAATGCTACAATATACAGCCGTCTAAACAGGATCATCGGTTGTTGGGATAACAGAGATATGATATGTATGTATGTATGTATCAACGAAAGAGCCGTAGATCACACCCGTCAAAGTTGTCTATACGCGCGTCGCGTTGCAGTCGTATCCTTGTGTCACTTAGGCTCCAGGATCAATAATTTTAAAGGCATGATGCCGATGGGACTTGGCGATTTCTCTAAGACTTTCAGCCGTAGCCGTGCACCGGCGGATGCATCTGCGAATCCGACATTTTACTGTGACATTTTATATGTCCCTCGAGTCGTGACACAAATGTTGTATATATCAGAAATATTTGTGCATTTTGCAATACTATGCATAATAATGCAGTAATATTTTATCTCTATTTTGAACAGAAAACGATCCAACGGTAATCCTGTTCCTGTATATAGGTTCGATTTTTTTCTTTTTAATTCAATAGACGTCATACCATACATATGGATGTATGACGTCTGAGAAGATTTTAGATTGCGATATTTGTATAAAAATATGATAATATTCCCCTTAAATGAAAATTTTTGATGATACAAAAATAACTTTACCATTAAGGTTGTCACATTAAGTTACTCAGTGACTTAGAAAATTCCTGTTAAAATGACTCATCTTCAAATGGCGACTGAACTATCTATGTATCTTCCTGAACTATTCCGAATGAAGATGCTGTTTTATTATTCATTGAAATACATTTTCTAAAATACAGCTATAAATAAATTATAGCTGTATTTTAGAAAAATTGAAGAAAAAATCATTGAAAAGAATAACATGGCGTTAATAGGTATATACCTCAAGAAATTAATAATATAATCTTGTAATTTACAAATTACTAATTCTCTACTTGTAATATTAAACGTATCAGATATAACATAAATAATATTTCAGCGTATCTTTTTCAGTTATTATGCATGTGTATTGACATATGATAGATGACAGCTTATTAAATTAATTAGTTTAGTCAGATTAAAATTTTGCCAGTTTTGTAAAATTATCTGGAATATCGTGTCATACCCAGACATTTTTTATCATCACACAGATATTTTTACATCAGTCCCGTTTATCAACTTTTGATCCTATCAACGTGGTTTGCTATCTACAACCTACATTATCGCACTCTGCACATTTCGCTAAGTCTACTAGAGATAGCGATATACGACTCGTGATACATTTTTCTAAGAAATTCCTGGATCGATCTTTGTGCTCCCGATTTTGTGTTTTCCCATCTTGTCAAAATTATCGTCTTCTCCCTTTAATTTTCGACAGCCGTCTCTTTTGTCAAGACTTATGTGTGTCACCGTAGTGGTTCTTATCGCATATCGTGTCATCTGTTTCGAAGGCAGGTCTGCCGTAGGAGTACTCACGTGTAGTTGGAGAGCGGTGCCTTGAGGTGTTGGGGCAGCCTCTCGAAGTAGTGCCGAAATTCTTCGAACTCGCTGTCGGCCATCGTCACGACGTTCGCAAGATTGAGCGAGGTAAAGAGCAGGGGTCGGTCCCGAGGGCGGCCGTGACGGCCTGGAGGAGAGCTGCTCGTCACAACCCCCAGGAAACGATACGGGACGAGATGTCGCTTACGTCGTCGCCGACGTCGCTTCGACGCCGCGCGAACCCCGACGCAACCCCTATTGATTCCTGCGTGGCGAACGTCGCGCGCCTGCTCGTTCGCGAGGGTGGACGCGAGGGGGTTGGTTCTCGGTGAGGAAGAAAGAGACAGGGAGAAAGAGAAAGAGAGAAAAAATCAAAGGGTGAACGTTTGGCTGCATATTCTCGCCTTGCATTACTGCTAAATGCAATCACAATAACAGCAAACGTGATTTTCACATTAGAACAAATAACAATTAGATTCCAGTGGTTAAATAAAAGCTATGAATGCATTTATTAGTTTTTGTCTGCCTGAAACTCCTTCGAAAGATTTAATTGTTCTCAATTGCTACGTCAAATTGAGATAATTGAGATACGATAATTTAATCAACATGTTCCATTTTTAAAACGGGAATTTTATTATAAAAATTGCAAAGAATTACGAAATGATATGGTTTCAGTGTGATAAAATGAAATTCTTTTGCTGTCTAATTTTCAAATATTTACGAGGGGCATTGTAGAAACTATGGGGGTGACTGCATGTACGTGCTCCGTGAAAATGCGGACCAAGACAGGTCCCTGTTCGAACATTTGCGGATCCAACGCGTCGCTGGTCGATATACATTGCGTAATGAAATATTTATAAGCGGGGCACATAAACTCTCGGGAGTTTACACTCGTATCTCTCGGAGTAGCTTGGAATTCACATCGGAGAACGACGCCGCGCTATATAGAATTCCGGAGAGGCGGCTAAATATTTTACAGACATCTCGCAATCGATGTTTTGCACTTATACACTCGTGCTGCAACGATAAAGATTCATCTTTCGCCAGTGTTCCGATGATTCATCGAAAATTTTACGACTTGCGTCGCTTTGTCAAACAACACACATGTAAAAGTAAACCATCCGTTTTTTAATGTACATTAAAAACGATTTCTTCGAATTTCAATCAATACGAATCTTAATTACATCAATCGATTTTCAATTCTATCCCAGGACTTTTTAGAATTACAAAGTATGTACGTCAAACTGTTGAACGCGTTTGGAATTAAGTGACTTCAATAAAATCGATGATTAAAAATATAACAAATATTTTTTATTTTTTTAAATATATTACATTTGTAATTTTATTGCGCATTAATTTCCACTGACTCATATTTGCCGTTTCTTTTCTTCTTTTATATTTAAATAAACATTATAACAGTTTTTCGATAGCGATAAATTTGATTATGGTTTGTCGCCAGAATCAAATTGCACCACGATTACATTTTCCAAACGTCTGTTCGCAATTCCGCCAGCTGCGTGGAGAACATTTTTCATTCTGCAGTCCCTCACAACTATTTTTCTCACATCCGCCCCCGGACTTTAGAATCACCGATCAATTCCTTTCATTCGTGCTGAGAGGCCGCTCGGAAAGAATCTTCCTCTTTACTGTTCGAATAATGAATAATCATTATTTTCTCCGTCGCGGAGACTTTCTGCGCGCTCGGTCGTTTCGATCGATTAAAAAATTTCAGCCGATTTTCCTCGAGAACACTTGAAAGGCTTTAAGGAAGTACGCGTCTCTCGCGAGAAGCAACAGGCTATCGACGCTTATCGTTAAAAGGCAGCAATGTAACGCAAACGTAGCTAAGAATAGGAAACACTTTTAAAAATTTCCAGATTGCAGAATGAAGATGTAATAAATGAAAGTGCAACAGATTATATAACAAAAACATACGTAATTTTACACGAAACAGGAGAATTTATGAAATAATAATTTAGACGTGCAGATGCACAACTATATGTCTTTTTAATCAATAATTTCTTCATTTGCGGTATGTAATTCGATCGTTCGATCATAAATATTGAAAAAGAGAGATCGATGTATCGACAGTATAGATATAGTTTGAAACTGCAGCAATTAAACATATTTCTTTATTACACGACGAAAAATAGCTTCATTAGTATAACCTCGAGGAAAAATTCAGACAATACGAGGGAAAGAAATCGACAAGTATCGACTGCGTCTGACCTAGTGGCCTTTGCAGCGGAATAGGAGACAGAGGCTAAATTCGTGCTACCACGCGGCATATCCCATTAAAACTTCCCCGTTTGATTCCATAGTCGGTCTCTTGCCGTCGACATATCGCCGCTGATAGATACGCCACTGATAACCGTCCTTTCAACTTCGTCGTATCGCGGCGGTAGAGGATGTCTTGTGTCACCGGCATACGAAAAGATGCGGGTGTCGTAAGATTGCGTATATTGCGTACGCGGACTGACCTTCTCGTAATTTCACCGACAATCTCCAAATCTCTCAAAACGCTGGCGCGTATTTTCGCAATATCGTCGCCAGGATCGAAAAATTTTGCAGCGCATTCGGCAACGGGGTTAACGAAATCAGTAGTGGATTAAATTGATTAAATTAATAAATGATTACCAGTGTCGAGGGCGCTCGCGAGAGGCATCCCCTTGAAATCAGCTGTCTGCGAAACGCATTCTGCTGATAAAAGAGTATCACAAGCGAGGATCGAACGTTACTCTCAATCTCGCTTAATGTCGGTGAAACACTCGGTATAATTTACCGAGGGTGGAATTGCGTTGCGGCAGCTGATAGTGGTAAGTGATAGACCACACGTAATGTGCTGCATCTACTTTTCTCAAGAGTGGGAGTATCCCTCGGGCGTTCGAGCTTTTATTAAACAGTCTCTTTGTTTCGGAGCAGAGAACTGGAGCAGAATCTGGAGAACGAGAAATCGCCGCCTCGTCGAAGAAGTGTCCTCCGCTGAGTAGAAAGTCACCTTTTAAACTGACCGCTTTAACGTTTTGATTTTGCGATTTTTTTATTGAAATTCTTCTATTGCGGCGTGTATAATTTTATACTGCGCCGCGTGAACTAAATATCTTTTAACAGAAACGTTATCAATATACACATTCCGTAATAATTTTTAGGAAATATAAAAGTAAAATAAAATTAAATCTTGTCAATATATTCTATTTGTAATATAAAGTATCTATGTATATTTATATTACTTATAAATATTTCTGAAATTTGCAGTGTATAATTTTTATAATAAGTCTAAATGTAATTATTTAAAAATAATTTAAAAATAATAAAGAAATGATCAACATTTAAATATGTAAACAATTTTTCGTATCAATATATGTTACTGGAATTACGTTATCAATGTAATAGTGAAAATGTAGTATTTAAAATTTTATAATTATGTTTTATATAAATATTTATAATTAATTATTATAATTAATAAGTATATACGTATATATTTCCAGTGTTATAAATTTCTTTTCCGCGTCTCAAATCAATCGACGAAATATATCTCCTTTTCTATCCGTTTTAAGCAAAAACGAGAAGAAACATTATCCTTCATTCTTTAGATAAAAATTTATTGCAAAAATAGAAACGTATTGTGTCGCATCTTATTTATTGGAAACTTTGCAATTCTTGCGCGCACTCCTCATTACCGGTGCTCGTATCATCCGCCTCGTGGGTTCCAGTGACGTCACTCACGAGGAATACATTCGAGTACCGGGTACCACTTGCTAAACGGGGGTGAGCCAATACTTGTCTTCAACCCCATGAGAAGTTTTATCCGACCAATGAGAATCGCCGGTGCCATCGTGCGCCGCCCAGCCACGGCAAGCTCGTCATTGAGAAGGACAAGCGCAAACGGGGAGACCGAGGTCTTAAGAGGACCTTAAGGATGGTACCGGCACACTGTTGCTCGTCTCCTTAAAGACAGCGAACCGTCAATCAGTCACGAAACCGTTTGTCGCGTCGCGCGAGATATTAAGGGATAAATCTCACCCATAAACGGAATTATCGACGAAAAAAATCTCTTCTCGCTAGTTCGCGAATTCGTTCATCGTAAAAATCATTATGAGTGGATCAGGAAAGAGTCTTCTCGGGGTGTGGCTCTACAGAAGAGGTGAAAGTTGGGCTGTCAAGGAAGGAAGTCCGCTACACAAATCGCGCGACGTATGTTGTGTTTATATATAACGAAAAAATAGATTGACACAATTAAATTTTAATTAAAGTCTAAACATTACAAGTAAAATCGCGTACAAGAATAATTCGAAAATTATTTTGGTTTCTTTAGCTTATCAATTTTATTGTTAAACTATTACATAATCTTTAAAAATGATCACAGTGTTTATTTTTAGAGCAAATTGTAACATGCAAAACTAAATGTAATATGAATTATTTTTATAAAACCTTTAATTTATATATTTATAATTATATTTATTATAGAAATACTATATAAGGTACTTCTACTTTTTTGGCTACTTTCTTCGCCGATATCTTTCACAATTTTCACGAAATAATTAATTTAATTGGACTTAATTCAAAAAATTGAATTTTGTAAATTGAATGTCCTAAAATCGATTTCATATAAATAAAACGAGCGACTTATTAAATAGACATGGTCTCTCGTTCATTCAGATCCCTGAGAACGAGAATAATTCGACTAATGACAACAAGAATTCTGTGATATTTTCTTTGAAGAACCAAGTCGGTGGCTTGGCACGAGCACTTCAAGTGTTTCAGGTATGTTTCCCCATTTTCGATTAGATTTATGCCTACATTAAAATCACGTTATATTCCCTCCTTGCATTTTTTTGTAAGTTATTCAACAAATCTAACCAAACGAGCGATTGAAAATCCGACAATAGAAAATTGTATAATGCTGCCAAGTTCTTTACAAAATTTCGCTCGCTTTCGTGCGAACAAGAACGACCGTCTGATGATCGCTAAAACAGATCTTTTCAAATCCCTCATTAATATAAGATAGATTATAAATTGGCAATAACAGATACGATGGGAAAAAGTCACTTCTAAAATTCCAAGTGATAAATATCGCGTATAATACCGCATCTACAAACATGTTTCGAAAATTTACTGAAGAGAGGTACCTTTGTTGTGTCACGCGAAGGATTTAGGTATAAATGTCGTGCACATTGAATCGAGGAAGTCACTGCGCCGCGGCTCCGAGTACGATATCCTCGTGGATGTCGAGTGCGACCCGAAGAGGATGGAGCAATTAATGAAGATGCTGAGCCGCGAAGTAGCAGCTATCAATCTCGCCCATTACGAGCAAATTGGAAGTATACCACGCGCGCCTTCTCTTTCGACCGCGACAAGCTTTGGTGAGTTCCCCATGTGCACAGTAACGAATATTGGTCAAATAAATTTTTCATTGTAACGAAGTGAGATCAAACGCAATTCCAATGTTCGTGTGCTGTTGCAAATGTATTGTAACATTTCTGTGAAAATATACAATGCTTATTGTAAGTCATTTTTATTAATTTTTGTGCATAAGTTTGAGCCATTAAATTCTTTTCATTTAACATATTCCTTTTAATAATGAAAAATTTAAATGTTTCAATTTGACCCTTGACTTCCGTATTTAAAATATCCTACCAAATACTTAAACGATTGACTTTTATCTTTGGACAACGTTTTATGTTTTATTCTCCATGATGATATTTTATATACTGACTACGCACTTTACTACAGTCTTTTTGGCTCTCTACAATTCTAAAGAAAATTTTGAACAATGTTTGCTATTCTTATTAATTTTGAACGAAGATTTAAAACAAGAATTAAAACGTCTACCTATATATTAATGTTTCTTATATTGTCACAATAATATATAATTTATACATATTATCCGGCCATCCAATGTCGGCTCTTTATGGGAATTTCTCAAATTAGATTAGATTTAATTTCCTTGAGCCTAATTGTCTTAATTTTTGTCAAATAAATAATATACCTAATTTATAGATAATATTTTATATTTATAATAATTATATAATATAATAGTATATGATTTATTTATTTGTTGGTCAATTTTAAGACAAATACTTAATTACTTAATAACAATTTAATATATTTGTTATGTGGTAAATGCCGCTCTTCCAGTTGCAATAAACGAAATTATTCCGCGTCAAGAAAATTCGAGAGAAATACCTATATGTATACATACGTATCAGCTGATCCGCGAACCCACAGATCCGCTCAGCTGTTTGGCAATAAAAAAAAAGCGAAAATGTAGAGAGACAACATTCAAACAAACACACGAAACACAGACAGATCCGTTGGCAAAAACGAGAGCACAATGTTTAATGTTTCGTAAATATTACTTTATTGCGTTGTATCATCATAATCTTTTCTTGTCGATTTATTAATGTAATACTATACGCGCCGGACTACAATACAGATAAAATAGTTATCATAAATAATTTTGTATAACATAATAATTTAATAATTATCTTAAATAATCATTGTATAGGTTGCACGCGCAGAAAAAGAAAGAGAAACATTGCTAGGTTTAAAATTTAAATGCATTTTCGTAAACAAACAATGGAAGAACAAAATAAGCTCTTCGCAAGACAAGTCACCAATCGCGAAATTAAATGTAACGATTCGGCTGGTAGGCACTGATACGCGCACAGACGTTTTATTCGTGTTCTATTGGTAAAATAAAACTTAAACTGCATGCGACCGGACATAAAGGTTCTACAATTGATCATTTTCTCTATCGCATCCGAACAGATTCTAACCATTATCACCGAACGAAAGACGTTAAACCAAACTAAAATAATTTCTATTATTGTATTTCATTTATATTTTAATGATACCTTGAAAAATTTAGAGACTTTCTTATTTTAAATCCTCGTTTGTTTTGAAGCTTCTAAAATAAAGTATACTGTAAAATAAAGTCGTACGTACGATCTCTCTGTTCGCGAAAAGAGAAATCGAAAGGGATATCGAATTTCTTAACGCGCGCCGCTGAGTTTATCGTCATTGCAACTTGCACCCCGAAGTGTTCCATCCTTTTAGCGAAAGCTAAAATTGTAATTCCGATAGAATTTGTATCAAGGTTTTATCACAGCACGTTTCTTGTCGCCTCTGTCTCTTCCCAAGACTTTCTTGGGAAATAAAATACCTTATTAGCAACACGCAATGAATTTAAAGATTTTAGCGAAGTAGACATGCCCTGGTTCCCGCGGAAGATATCGGACCTTGATCGGGCGCAGAAAGTTCTCATGTACGGATCTGAATTGGACGCGGACCATCCCGTACGTTTACCGCATGATTTCGTGCATGTTACTCCTTGTGCTCAACCGCTTGCTTTAACAAAACTATTCGGCGATTGTAGGGTTTTAAGGATACGGTGTATCGTAAACGCCGCGAGGAGTTCGCCGATATCGCTTACAATTACAAATAGTAAGTAAAGCAAAAGGGTTTCCCCGCGAAAATTTTCCTTTCCCTAAATACAAGCAATATGTTTTCAGTGGTCAACCGATACCAAGAGTGCAGTACACGCCGGAAGAGATCAAAACTTGGTACGTCCTTTTCTATAAGTCGTGAACTGATGTTCTCTTTCGAGACACGGTATACAACTTTTTCTCATTAAGCTTCGGACAGAATTGCGAACGTGCCTTCGTATATATGAAGGCAATTGACACAGAAAGAAGAATCATTTCTGTTTCTCGATACTTAAACTCGGTATACATTCGTTCGGTACTTTCCTTGCAAACTTCCACCTTTCAAAATCGATTTGAAATGAATCTCTCTCCCTCTCTCTCTCTCTCTCTCTCTCTCTCTCAATCTCAATCTCTCTATCTATCTATTTATCTACCTATCTATCTACCTATTTATCTATCTACCTCTTCCATGTATCTCTTTGTAAAGCACAAATCGAGGTAAGATTGGCACACGCTGAATGCGCCCTTAATTGCGTCAATTTGATTTATCCCCGGCGCGAGAAGAGACTCAGCTAATGCAATCTCTCTGACTTAAATGCGACGACGCATAAAGCAAACATCGTCGCTTCAACAAACTTAATCAAAACGAGAGCTTTTCGGTAAATGTCAAACGTTTGAACAATTTAATGACTATCATCAATTTAACAACGCTTTGTCTTTAAAAAAATATACCGAAATATGTAGCAAAGATTAAACGCGTAATGCATAACAATATTATCAAAATACAAAAAGATTTTATAAAGATATAATATAACAAATTATAAACAGATTATAAAAGATATAATATAACAAAATTGCTATTCTGTGTCTTAGGGGAACTGTTTTCCGCGAACTGCACGCACTTTATCAAAAATTCGCGTGCAAGGAATATCTGGAAAATTGGCCGAAGTTAGTCAAGTACTGTGGATACAGGTACATCTTTAAAATAAATAATTATTGATAAACAGAAAATGTGTGTGCAAATGCATTTGAAAAATAATTTATATTTAAACGTAATTTTTGAAAAATAAATGGAAAGAAATATCAATTTATATAAGTAGCATAAAATCTCATATCACTTATCTTAGAGAAGACGGCATACCACAGCTGCAGGATATAAACGTTTTCCTGAAGCGTGAGTAAAAACTGTTATGTAGTCTGTTATTTCGCGAAAGTAATAATGTGTGCGTGTGTTTAAAACGAGAACTGATATATCTGCAGGAACGACGGGATTTCAACTTCGCCCAGTCGCGGGTTATCTGACACCGCGGGATTTCCTCTCTGGCCTTGCTTTCCGCGTGTTTCACTGCACGCAGTATATTCGACATTCTTCCGATCCATTTTACACACCGGAGCCGTAAGCTTCTCTGCAAATGTTTTCTGTAAAAGCTCCGAACAACGTGTTGTAAATTGCGAAATACAGATATCGATATGATGAAAAATAAAATTCCTAACTGAGCTATTCTTTCGCTCTGAACTATGCTATCGGCGTGTTAAAGTGGCTGCAATATTTCGCAATTTGCAGAGATTGTTGCCACGAATTGCTGGGCCACATGCCGCTGCTTGCAAACCCAAGCTTCGCGCAATTCTCTCAAGAACTCGGTCTGGCTTCTCTCGGCGCGTCGGATGAAGATATAGACAAACTGGCAACCGTACGTCTTCGAACGTAGAAAAAAATACTTGTATATTTTTCCTTTCTCTTTGGCACATTCGACTTCTGTCTTTCCAGCTGTATTTCTTCACGGTGGAGTTCGGTCTGTGCAAGCAAGATGGTATGCTACGCGTATACGGCGCCGGTCTACTGTCGTCGGTGGCGGAATTGAGACACGCGGTCACCACCCCCGAGAAGACCATGAGATTCGAACCTGACATCACTTGCAAGCAGGAATGCATCATCACCGCATTCCAGAATGCTTATTATTATACGGACAGCATAGAGGAGGCAAAGGAGAAGATGCGGTAATTATATCTTCTTCTTTTATATCGTTACGCTTCAACAGTCCGGGGACATTTTTTTTTCTAATTCAAAGGAAAACAAAGTTTTAATTTATAATGTTGCTACTATATTGCCGCTTATGTTCTCCACAGCGCGTTCGCTAATCAGATTCAACGACCCTTCGGGATACGTTACAATCCATATACTCAGTCGGTGGAGGTATTGACGGATGCTCAGAAGATCACGGCAGTGGTCAGCGAGCTACGGGGCGATCTTTGCATAGTATCGAACGCCCTGAAAAAGATTCATGAGCAGGACGATACCGTCGACGTCGAAAGGATAACGAACCTGCTGACGCATGGCATCGAGCTGCCGCAGGATAGCGCGTCCTCGGACAGCGATCAGGACAACAGTCCCAATGCCGAGGAGACTCATCAAGATCAACACCGTGACGCTAAAGGTGTCATTATGAAGAATTAAATAACATCGTCCTTAACACATCCCATTAAATCCTAAAAATGCTTCAAATTCTCCAAAATCGACGTAAAATTTTAGAAATGGATTCTTTCGCGAACGCAGAAATCTCTTTGTCTTTCATGCAGATGTCGTAAAATCTAATAAAGATATTTATTATTAAGATAATTATTATTTTAAAGAACGAACTCATAAGATATTAAAAAGTATAAAATAGATGGATTAAAAATTAAATTGTCTATTTATTCTATTTGTCTGACTAAGAATAAGAATATATCGATAACAAATAACCTCTAGATAGTCTAGGTTCAAACATATAAAAGAAAGTAATTAAAACATCAATATTAGTGAAATCATCTCGTTGTAGAATTTACGTTAGTGTGAATAATTAAATTAAAATGTTAACTGTGCATGTAATAACATAAAATATAATTATCTTTTGAGCCGAGGTTTCTCTCGTCAAAGAGCAAAAGGAAAATTCTATGAATTAAATTTTCAACTTTAATTTATTCCATTATATATACATTCAAAATTTAAAAGTTACTCGGCAGTAACTTTTAATCCTCCCACATAATATATATACTTTGGCTCTCTGTTTCTGTTAAATGTACAAAATAAGATTTATGTAGAACGTTAGAAATATGTATCGTAATGGGATTAAGAAATATATATAAAGCAATAATAATTCCAATCCTAATTCTGATTCATTTCATCCGTTCCTTGTTTTAAATTTTATTAATTTTCCGCTTTAGAAACAATTGTAAATGTAAGTTACAATCATTTATAAATCTCTATAATCAAAGAAATAATTATGTTATTATAATAGCTATAATGACTATATAATATTTAATGAATTATTCAGGTCTTATTTTTCATTATTTGGATTTCATATTAATTCCGTTCAGTAAAATTTGATTATTGATAAAAAAATAAACATTCTCAAATAAATTTAATTAAAAAATAATTTTTTTTCTGGTTGTTTTCTGGTTGAAAAAAAATGTAAATCCACATAAATATATTAATTATTAATTTTTGAGAAAGTAAAATTTATATATTAGTAATTAAATTACGATCGATAATTTATCATACGGACATTTATTTATGTAAAATACAAATTATTTAAATATTATAAAATCTTTTAATTGAAATATTGAATTATTGTAATAAAAGATTTTATTTAAAAAATTGTAATAAAATTATATAATATTAATGCAAGATACACAAAACAAAATTGAAATCCGTGGAAGTGTTATCCAATGAAATATTCACGGCTATAGTTTAAACACATTTTAGGCACATGGAGGTAATTTCTATGTAAGTCCCATTTGATTATGCTGAAATGGCTGCGAGAATTTAAACGCGTGACAATTGCAACTAACGCGTGGACAATCGCAACGTGGTCAATTGTAACGCGTGGGCAATCGCGCGCATAAATAAATAATTTTACTATTATATTATTTCTGGCTAAAGCTTGTCATATCCGCAGACAAATTAAATCATTTTATAATTTTTAAAATATATAAAATTTGATATCCGTAAATGGCCAAAAATATTACGTAATATATCCATATAATATAATTAAAAATTGCTTACTCCGTGACAGAGTAAGTAAAAAATGAAATTTCTTACCCCGTGACAGGGTAAATAAAAACTAAAGAACCCCGCACAGATCTTATGTAAAATGTGCCCCCGGTTAAATTGATTGAAAGAATCAGTAAGTCATTTAATGAATTATGAATATCGAAAGTAGAGACTTTAAGCTTTAAAATTCTTTTTTGATCATTCCGATACGATGATTTTTGACGAAGTTACATTCTCTTGAAATT